ATTACCATTAAGTTCACATGAAACACCTTTGCATATTCTGCCGTGTGTCCCCATGGTGATACAAGCATGGGATACCAGGGACCTATTGTGACTACCCACAACGCGTTACTGCTCTCGGTCTATAAATCATTTGAATCAGTTTCAGTTCTCGGGGAAACGGAAACAATCAACCCACATTCCCAGAGAACTGTACGCCCCGCAGCGAGCGAACTGCAGTTCACATATGTTGACGCAGAAACTCAAACTCCTGTTGTGTTCAGTTTCTCGCGATGATTGAGAACACCTGAATTAAATTGGCATAATTCAAAAATTTGCAGTATAAAATATAGTCGGTCATGTTGTTCAGACCTTTGCGATTGACTTGAGAACACTGACACCTATTAGTGTAAGTGCATGTGAACTTAACAACTATATACGCATTCATACCACAGATTTGTCACTTAAGCCGGTTAACATATGGAAGATATCATAGTGAGTGAGTATGGTTTTACGCCGTTTTTGGCAATATTCCGGCTATGTCACGGCGGGGGACACCAGAAATGGGTTTCACACATTGTAACCATGTCGGGACTCGAACCCGGGTTTTCGGTGTGACGAGTAAATGCTTTATCCACTAGGGTACCCGACCGCCCCCGAAGTATATCGTAAAATATGGTGTGCATTAACATGTACAGTAAATTCCGTAATGGAGACATCATGAAAATCTGTTGATTGAATCTACTTCCAGAATCAACAGATTCGAGTTATTGATTAACCATGTTATCGTTTAATATATATTAATTTCTCTATAATGACCTATAGCTACGTCACTTTTACTTGTTTACATTTCGTTCAGAATGACCAGTGAATTCTTGACTCAGAATGAACTATAACAACAATAGCGTGACGTAATTATAATGGTTTAAAAGTCGAAGCATCAACGTCTGAAAGAACCAATAACTTTCAGGTTTTAATAGCAACTTTCACCTTTATTTACTTCATTTACTAAGTCCATTTTGTTGTCATGAAAACCGGAATAAATGAAACAATTTACAAATGTTATAAATAACAAAGGCAAAGGTTCATGGCAAGGCTGATATTTGTCCAAAGCTTGATCAAGAAACAATATACGGTCAAATCCAACCCTTATTTGAACCTACATCTTGTCATCGAGGGCGGCCGGGTAGCCTAGTGGTTAAAGCGTTCGCTCGTCACGCCGAAGACCCGGGTTCGATTCCCGACATGGGTACAATGTGTGAAGCCCATTTCTGGTGTCCCCCGCCGTGATATTGCTGGAATATTGCTAAAAGCGGCGTAAAACCATACTCACACACTCTTGTCATCGAAATGGGAAAAAATCAATGTGCAGGATCCCAAATCACCAAAGGTCACACGTTTAGCATATGGTTTGATTTGTTTCATTATATACACGTTTAGCATATGGTTTGATTTGTTTCATTATATACACGTTTAGCATATGGTTTGATTTGTTTCATTATATACACGTTTAGCATATGGTTTGATTTGTTTCATTATATACACGTTTAGCATATGGTTTGATTTGTTTCATTATATACACGTTTAGCATATGGTTTGATTTGTTTCATTAAATACACGTTTAGCATATGGTTTATAATCAAATAGCGCACAATTTCTGAGTAATGCTTCCAGGTTTGTCAGCACCATACCCGTGCTCGTGGGTTTCACAGAAGTGGTAAACGTCTGAGACCTGCATCACTTCGGGCTTTTCTCCCACATTAAGCTGACACGGAGTGATAAAGCTTGAATACTGTTAAAAGCGACTCACTCACTCACTCACTCACTCACTCACTCACTCTGAGTAAAGCTCCGGAAGCAAGGATGGAAGGATGGACGGATAGAACCCATAAACTATGTCCCCTTCCCATTTCCTGGCGGTTTTAAGTTTGATTTGTTTCATTATATACCGAGCATGTCATATCAATAGGAACGAACAGTATTCAAATGAAACGATTAAAATGTGTATCGCTTTACAACTAATTTAAAGACATTTAGATGCCTAAAAATAATGTTCTTGCGTCACTGTAAATTATAGACTGCCCTTATATCCTGCGTAAACCCTCTGTGTGGTAAAATGGAACGACATACAACTGATATAAAATATGTCCTATACCTGAGGATCCATTTTGCTATGATGTAAAGCCAACGTCGTAAAACGTGAGCATAAATATCAACGAGTCGATGGTCGACACAATTTATGAAAGCCGCATTTTTTAGAGGGCTTAAGAATGATCCCTTTAATGGACCGTCATTTTCCATGGCTGATAACTATCGCCCATCGTAGGCACTGCCTCTAAGATGCAATGTGTATGACACATGTGGGCTTATTATCTTTCTATATTCAATCCACTATGTATTCGTACATGTAAACGTAGACGGGAACACTGAGTGTTAACATTAGAATTTAACAAATGAAGTGTTAAAGTCAAGGTGTTTGTTTAACGTAGAAACTTTCATGACATGCATATATACATCAGAGCCACACACACACACACACACACACGCACGCACGCACACACAAACACACACACAAAAACACAAACACACACAAACATAAACACACACACACACACTCACACACACACACTTACACACAAACACACACTTACACACAAACACAAACACACACACACACACACACACACACACACACACACACACACACACACACACACACACACACACACACACAATTATATGAGGCTATTGTTCACAAGAGGATACAAACCGCCGGTAAATAGAAGATTACGCTTGAAAATTGGATTGGACCAAAATAAATTACAAATTTTATCTGGGCTGAAAACAGTTGTCGAAACAATGCAATTGTAATGTCAAAACACAACTACATCAAGTACACAAGTACATCACCATCGAATAATCATTTTTTGTTTGTGTCATTTTTAGCCACCATCATACATAAGTGTATCCTTTCTTTTGTCCGACAGTTTATGCTTAGCATGATTCTAAATAACACATTCTCATACACTTCTAGCGTCTAGATGTTTTCTTGCAGTAATTATTTTATCTTAGTTTCTAGGTTCTGTTGTGGCAGGATCATATTTTAATCAGCTTAGTACTTTAAACACGTTACATTTCAAATGTCAAATATTAGCTGCACATGGTGAATACTTTGTATTAACCAAAGACGCCCTATGAGTCATGTAGCAAGTTAGATAAGATTAGGTTTCCTTTACAGCGTCATGCAACAATTCCGGTGAATAGCGTGTGACGAATCACACACAGCACGTTTTGACAGTACAATAACAACAGGTTAAAGTTGTTCGCGGGCCTCGCGCGTGTTTAGATCTCTATCAGCTGATTTCTTAATTTAAGTTAAGCATAACGATTAATTACATATTGAGATGGACATTGAATATTCAATATAATGATCTGCTGTATTACACGAGTGTTGTGTCTAGTTTGTCTAGTGATTTCTGTGTGATAAGGAAGAAATATATTTGGCATAGACATACTTCAATGTTTGCCTGTTGATGTCTAGCTATTTATTACAAACAAGTATAATGGTAGTTGTTGCCGATAAAATAAAGTTTAGCAAAATATCGGGGTTTATCCCCATGCCTCCGAGATATACATATATCCATATACCCATAGATAGTGTATCTCATAGTCATAACTACAACATTCTGTATTCGATTATTACACTGACTGTTTTCAAAGGATTTCACTTTTATAGGATGATAAATCCAAGAAAAGAGATCAACTGCATTTTAGAAGTATGACGTGTTTGAAAGGGCAATAATCATAACGTTTGTCTAATCAAACACTGTACACATGTAGCCTACTACGTGGAGTTATGAGGCCCATAGACCTCCATAGACATAGACATCCGATCATGAATACATGTCATATTGTCACAAATGGGTTTTCCAATATGGCAGCCAAAGTCTTTAGGCCGCATGTGCCAAATTTCAGCTCCATACCCATTAACAGGAGAATATGATTAAGTCCAGATATCAGAGAACACGGCTAAAGTATAGACTAACATCTAGTCTCTGAAATGAACATATCGTACATAAAAAAACAGTTGTTCAGTTATCTTAATAAAAATATGATAAAAAGGAGCCCAGTGACTCTCTTAATTTTCAGATACTGCAGTGATCTAGACTTGCCAAACATTATAGACTTGCATGGGCTGTATTTGATATATATTTGTATCAGGGTCTGTAAGACAGACTAGGCTAAAGTACAAAGGGTAAATTAAATCAAATTTCAAAATACATCGTCAACGGAAAAGATATGTCGAGCCAAGCGACATTCGACCAATTTGATACTTCCCATACACGAGATTTCACGTAAAGGGCTCCAAACATCGCTGCCTAATGACCAGAAAACAGGGTTTCCAACGGGGCATGAAAACAATGTACGAAATTGATCTAGCCATATTTGCTAGATAGTTAGAATCAGATTTCAACAATCTTTTTCATGTTGTAGTTAAGTTTGTTGGGGTTTCAAGCCGGGTGTACTTTCATAGTATCGCTCCAGTGAGTCTATTAAGACTAGAATGTACATGTTCAACAAAAACGTAAAGACGACATACCATGTGTCAACTGAGCGTAAATCACAGTGGGTGTGTCAATGACATACACGTAAAATATGTCACTTAAAGGCTTTACTACAGAATATTCAGGGCAGGCTGTTTTTTTATCTCCTACCAAGATTAAACCGCTTTATGTCACGATCATTCTTAAGAGAGGAGTGAGTGAGTATGGTTTTACGCCGCTTTTAGCAATATTCCAGCAATATCACGGCGAGCGACAACAGAACTTAAGAGAGGAACAAGCGAAATACAAAAAAAAACATTCCGTAGAATTCTGGCCAGGTGTGCATGCATGCTGTTGTGACACGGTTATATCCCATTAGTTAGACGTCCCATTAGTTAGACGTCCCAATTGTTAGACATGTTTATTTAGGCAAAGAGGGAATATACCTACAGGTGTAATGGATCAGTCCTAATTAGATTAAAGTACTGGGTAGGGATAGGGGACTCACAGTTTATGGAGTATATGTGTTATAATTTCGTTTAATCAACCTCAATTACCTTACTCTCGGCACAGGTTCAATAGGCATGAGATTAACTATGTAAACTATGGAGTAGCTTAATTGTCTTACTGTATGATCAGTTGAAGGAGTTGAGTTTAGATTATCTACTCATCAAACAAATAAAAATGATCTTGGGGTACGTATCATTATCAGTATCGATATGGCTGGTTTAAGGAAAGTAGAGTACCTTACCTCTCGGCGTGGAAGTGAGCAGTTGATATTAGATGGATAATTATATTTACAACAGAAACCGCGAGAGGCAAACCTTCACACATTGAAGGTGTGTCGTCAAGACGTGCAATGGGAAATGTACAACTGTCTGTGACTTTCTTTGCAATCAGTCGGAACATAACCATCCGCCTGAAGATGAAACCAGAGTGAACTTTGTCAGCAATCTTCGTAAAAGAGCGCGAGAAGAAACCACACAGATGCAGGCACTGTACGAGGAGCAAGTCACTCAAGTAGATGAAGCCAACATGCCAGCGATGCCATCATTTCAGAGCGTGAAAAGTGCACTTTACAGGTAAATATCATCTCGTATTTTTGACTTGGTTAGAATTTACTTTTTTTTTCAGGTCCCACATAACTTGTTTCGCTCTTAAACATTTCAAGTTAATGAAATCATTATCAATATTTCATGTAACATATGTGTAACTGTTCCTTTGCTCTTGTTCAGGCGTTACATTCCATCGTTACCCAGGTCGCGGTCAGCAGCAGACATTGAAGACAAATGGTCAGAGACAACAGATGGACGTCCCTTTCTACTGTTCAGCGACGGCGACGATGACAAGATCCTGGCGTTCTCCACTGCAGAACAGATACAAGCCCTCCAGGAAGCTGACACTCTTTACATGGATAGTACCTTCACAGCATGTCCAGGTTTATGGGATCAAGTATACATCATTCATGCCAGAGTTGGTCCCACCATCTTCCCTCTAGTGTTTGCCCTTTTGCCAGATCGCCAAGCAACAACCTATGGCCGCCTTTTTCGACAACTGAAGACAGAAGTTCAAGAGCGACTCAACAGACCTCTGTCACCTAGCACACATGCTTCGTCTGGGATAAATAAACTGTAAAAGTTATTAAATGTAAAGTGTACATTACCAAAAACTGTCACAAAGTGTTGTTACAAACTGTATAAAATTTATCAAATGTAAAGTGTCATTAAATGTTAAGTATAATATTAAAGTATCTATTTAAAGCTGCTTTGCTTTGTTTGTCAGATCTTATCTGGACTATTCCATTTTAAAGTCTGAGGTAACAAGCATAAGGATTAGTGTGCACTCAACCGTTTAAAGTGTTGTTATAAGCTGTCTAACTATTGGGACGTCTAACCAATGGGAGGACACCTGTATCAATACAGTAGCATTTGATGCAAAGAGATACGGCAGCTGTGAACGCCTCAATTAATAATGTTTCATGCTTTTGTGCAGTTGGGAATGGATCCTTTCTTCATAAAACAAATTACATGTACTAGGCACGCGAGGTAATAGGCACAAATGATCATTATACATCGATTATGCATTAACATCGATTAAATGGTGTTGAAACATGTCGACTTTCTATTCTGCAGACACAAAAGAAACAGTATGAGTAATGGGGATGTGGAATGAAATATAGCTGAATGTAAATACGTACGTGGCGTTGTTTCACCAATGAACCGTATGAAACCATCTGGCATTAGCTCTGTTTCCACCTGAATTGCCTTATTTCAAATTTAGGAAAAGTTTTGTAATTGTTAAACTATTTGAATGAATCCTGAAAATGAGTGATGACACCAGGTCTTCGCGATAAGGAAAGAATGACCTGCATATAAGACAAGACATTTCACCGACATTAACAACAGTTTTGATGTAACAGATGAAACTGAATAGAACGTAACGCATATGGGAATTGACTTTGATCGGAATCGTACAATGGAATCTGTTTTAATAGAGATGTCTTATGATCACGTAATTTTTTGTCGCTTTTATAACCATTTTGAGGAAATTTCGTAACAGAGTTTGTCCTTTTCTCGGGACAACACTATCTACACCTGTTAATTAATTATTGACTTATCAATCTTATAATTACTCTACTCGTGTGTACGAATAAACAGGAAAATTCAACCATAAGGATCAACTTGATGATAAACTATCTGACATATCTACATCTTTCGAATCTTAGTCGACTTACTCTTCTTATATCAACGTGGGTACATGTTCAGACAGTCTGCAATCACTTTGTTAGAAACAGTGGCTTCTTCCACATAACGATCTGTGTTGTGAAGATAGCATGGCTTGGTAGGGGGTATTACTGGGAAAAGGGTTAAAACAAATCCATCAGTATGAATTGAAACGAAGTTGCAGTTGCAGTCCACCTTTTTTATTTAACCCTAAATTTCACAATTGTTTGAAATGTACAATGGGCATATTTGTCTTGTAACTGCGTTCGGTAATCCATACTTCTTAAATGGAAATAGAGACAAAGAAGGCTACTAGTAAAGAACTGAAATGGGTTCGAGTGGCTTCCATCACCACTCGAAGTAACGTGCAAGAAGAATCGTCGCCTATTGATAATTTTTTTTGTGCGAGATTACGAAATAAACATTTTCCATTGAGTTTTGTGACTGACGATCATTTTGGGTTTCCAAATTTAATTCAGTTGAATATCCATCTTAATATTTAATAAGAGGTGATAACTATCTTTAAGTAATTGAAATAGCCACCAGTTTAAAAAATATATTTTTTCAAATACAACTTATAAACTATAATATCAAATAGTGTGCTTATATTTAAGTTCATTGGTAATTTTGTACGAATATTGAAAGCTTAATTAAAAACCACGAGAAAACGTTGCCTGTTTCTTTTTCATGTCATTCATATTTTATTCAAAGTATTCATGTTTTTCACAAGGGGTATTTCAGCTATGTTCATTTTAGACAACTAGACCAACAACTTGGACATGACTCATGACTCTCCATTAACACTTCAGTTAAATTGTTTTATAAAAGTACTTTAAAGTATGAAATGATGATTTCATAGTTGAATCTAATCTTTCCAATTTTAAACATCTAGAAATTTGATGTACTCCCACTGTAAATAGGATTATTATTATTATTATTATTTGGAACCGAGCGTATTTCTACCATGACGACAAGGTCGCTTAGAAAACGGTGCTCTCTTGAACGCATTGGTAATTACGCATGGGTAAGAATCCCCTATCGGGATGTTCTGAGATACTGGATTTGTACCCATCTCAGAACATCCCGAGACCCGTGAAGATCCGGGGTAGAATAGGTCTTCAGCAACCCTTGCCTGTCGTAAAAGGTGACTATGCTTGTCGTAAGAGGCGACTAACGGGATCGGGAGTTCAGGCTCGCTGACTTTGTTGATGCATGTCATCGTATCCAAATTGCGTGGATCGAAGCTTATGATGTATATCACTGGATTGTCTGGTCCAGACTCGATTATTTACAGACCGCCGTCATATATCTCGAATATTGCTGTGTGCGGCATTAAACATAAAACAAACAAACAAACAGAACATCCCGAAAAGGGGTAGTATTATAGGTAACAAATATCATTCAATTTCAAGATTAAAATACTCATAGGCTTCAGTAATTAATTCTGTCACTTAATTGACAATCATGACAATCTGTTGCAAATTTGCACTGTTTGAACTCACCCAAGACATTCTTTGAAATTAGCGTCAATTCAGGTTTTAGAAATAGTGAAAATAATGCGGAACGAATTTCTCCGAGAAAATTTTTTTAAATAACTGGATTTTAGTTATTTTGAAGTACTTGTGGGATCACCATGACATCAGATTAGGAAACGAACAGTTACAATTCGCATAATAAACAACTGTTGGTGGGTATCTTTTCCGGCACAGATATACAACATTATAAACATGGTAGGGGGTGGTTGCAAATTCATTTCTCACCCGTTGTCTTCATTGAACCAATTTAATTTGACTCAAACTTGTAGTCATCTGCTGCTAAAATACAACCAGGTCGAAGTTCTGGGTGGAAAGGGGCGGTCGGGTAGCCTAGCGGTTAAAGCGTTCGCTCGTCACGCCGAAGACCCGGGTTCGATTCCCGACATGGGTATAATGTGTGAAGCCCATTTCTGGTGCCCCCCAAGAGAGCACCGTTTTCTAAGCGACCTTGTCGTCATGGTAGAAATATGCTCGGTTCCAAATAATAAGAGGTATCCTATCTGCAGTGGGACTACATCAAATTTCAAAACACAGTAGGTTCATCAGCTCAACAAACCTATTCCCTGTAAGGTCTTTTCAAACTATATAAACATATTATTTAGAAATATACATTGGAAATGAAACATTATGTGTTCAGACTAATATTTGTAATATTGTCTCAGATAGGTTTGACCTATTGTTTTTTAAAACAACAGTAAGCTAGTTTTACTGTGAGGATTATTACTTTCGGACTCAAACAGAAATAGCGTTACCGTACTTGTATGAAGTGGTTCTGTTGTTCCTTCGCCAATACGGAATCCTCCTAGCAAAGCGGGAAGTCCGAAATGACATGAGTTGGTCACGATTTTGTCAGTCATGATAGGAAGGGCAACGGGTAAGCGGAGAACCTTGCATCTGTTACTTCACTGATCACGTTGTTGGAAGTATAAGTACATGTAGTACCCCCTCTATTACCCGACCCTACCCGGGTACCCACTGTAGGTCTCAGAAGATGTCTCAAAACGTCCGATTGGGAACATTTGTAGCATAGCCCTGACAAAACGTATTTAGATACATGTATTAGACAATCTGGTCATTCATACACTGAAGTCGAATTAAGTAATATCTTTATTCAACCATATGAAAAATCAGAAGGAATGGGTGCATAGTCAGTTATAACCTAGCCATAATGAACTCTAAAATCTCTTCGCTTTCGTGAAGCTACAGTAAGACTGGTCACGCTACAGTAAACACGGGATATTGCTGTACCAGGTCTCTCAAATTACAAGAAAAACACAGAAATGCGTATACCGTAATTACAGTAGTAATTTATTAGATGCTGAAGTATAGTATAGTTGCACAAAAGTACTTTACATTTAACAAATTTAATAACTCTAATACTTTAATATTTCATGGATGTACATTATAATTTCTACAAAAACAACAATAACTTATATCTTAAAATATAATGGTAAATACATAAATACATTCTATAATAAATTTTCGGTTACACTGGGATATACGTTGTGTTCAAGTCATTCACTCCAAGTGGATCAGGTCACCAACGTGATCTGTGTACTCAACGTCGCCGATGACGTTGTTGACGAGATTGTCTTTCAGAACAAGTGCTGACCACCTCGCACGGTATCAACCATGGTCACTCGAACTTGTGCGTTAGCCATTTTGGACATGGATAACTTACTTATTTACTTACTTTGCAGATTTAACGTGCGCTTTCCGACTGATGCGTATTTCGCACACGGGCCCGGCCAGGCCATTTAATGTGTTTCCGAAAGGGGCGAAAGTGGTGTGTGCAACCCCAGAGGGGCTTTTGGGGTTGGTTGGTTGTTTGGGAGTCGGAAGGATTGTGTGGTTTTAGTTGGTAGTGTGGTATGGACTCCGAAACCTGTGTGTTTGGAGGTCGGATCTGAAGATCCGTCCCTGTATATGTGACACCACATAGATAAATGTTGTTGCATTAAGTGTTTAAGAGGTCGCCTTCTGCCTAGGCAATTTCGGCTGACCTGTCCCTCTTTGGGACTCCTTTTTGTGAGAAGGGTTCACATATCTATTGTGAGTTCGGTGTTCACATAATTTCTATTTTCTTATATTGATATGATTTCATTTTTATCCTTGGCTGCTCTGTTTATAAACGTTCGAGCAGCTGTCCATCTCTCAGAAATAGAGTTAGTTTGGCCTTCGCTATTGCATCTCTTGGCTTTAGGAGATCTATGACAGATAGCGGATCTAACTGCAATGCTTGTTTTAACCTAGCCCGGGCTGGGGCATGGTCTTGACATTCTAGTAACACGTGGTCAATGGTTTCAGCCTGATTGCAAGATGAACAAACCTTGTCATAGTGCTTTTTGTGACCAAGTCTGAGGCGTGAGATAGCAATTTCAATTTTCCTTTCATTTGAGTATGAGTTTGGCTTTTGTTGGACCTTGGGTTGAATTTTGTATAGCCATCTGCCGATCTTACTTGCGTCCCATTGGGCTTGCCATCTTTCTGCTATGGAGGCTTTGATTTGTCCCAGGTAGTTTGAATTTTAGTGATAGCTACTGATCGTAGTAGGGTTGGGTTTTCTCTTTTAGTGACTTCTGATGTTCAAGCAGTGTCAATTTTGGGAGTTTGTAAAGTCCAGGGAGGGTGTAACTCTTTGTAGTGGCTTTCTGAAGGCTGAATGTCATCGCAATTGTGACTTCGAATGAGTTCACGTACTAATATCCTAGATGGCTTTAGTGAGGGATTTTTTCGAGCTGGGGCTTCATCTCGAGCGTTTTTGTCTTGCCATATCTTTTTAACCAAAGGGTTTGATGTTCGTCCCCAGAACGATAATATTGCCTGCTCTCTTCTTAGTTTCAATGGGAGTTCTCCCGTTTCTACTTGTAGTGCTTCTAGTGAGGTGCCTGTCGCTGCGCCTGTGGCCAGCATTAGGGCTTTGTATTGTATTCTGTCTAGGCGCCTCAAGACAGTATTTGATGCTGAATGAAAAGCCTCACAACCATAGTCAATTTTTGATCTGATAAGAGCTTTGTAGATGTCCAGCTGAGTGTCCCTCGATGTGCCCCAAGATGTGCCTGAAATTGCCCGTAATACGTTCAGGTCTTTTTGACATCACTTGCGCCGAGTGAGGTGTTGATCAAGGATAACCCCAAGAAATATTGCAGATTTTTCGAATTCGATAGGTTTGCCTTTTATGGAGACACGGGGTATCATAGCATCTTTCCCCCGGCGTTTGAACAGAACTCCAACAGTTTTTTCACTTGAAAGGGTGAATCCCCATTTATTGCACCATTGATCTACTCCGTCCAGGGCTGACTGGAGTTTTTTTCTGATTTGTGAGATATCTCTGTGCTTTACCCATATTGCTCCGTCATCAGCGAACTTGGGTTTGGGTAGGAGAGTTGACATGGTCAAAAAGATCATTGATCATGATATCAAACAGGGTTGGGCTTAATGCTGCCTTGTGGCGTGCCATAGGATCCGATCGATTGTTCCCTATTTTAACTGATAGCGACCTGTCTTGCAGGAAGCTGTCTATGAAGTTTGCCATGTTCCCTTCTACTCCATTTTGTGATAGTTTTGAGAGGAGTCCGTCATGCCATACCATGTCGAAGGCTTTGCTGAAGTCCAGAAATACTGCGGCTAGGTATTGTCTGTTTAATTGGGCTTTTTTATTTCATTTTCCAGTCTTAGAATATGATCTAGACACGAGTGTCCCTTCCTGAAGCCACTTTGGTCAGGTTAATAATAGATAAATAAGTTGCACTCTTTATATATACCTTCAAATACATACTGTATGTATTCTTAAGAAACGACTCTCCTCTAAACCCATCGGTATCATAACCCATATCAACTAAGAAACTAATTGTTTGTTCAATTAAGATACTGATCATCTCTTCTCCTGTGTTTAAACATCCAACTGTATTATTTTTTTACGAAACGACTCTCTAGTAAATCTCCTCTCCTCTCCTCTCCTCTCCTCTCCTCTGTTTGAACAGAACGGGCGCTAATCTAAACTACGGTAATCCGGTGTTTTTATAGCGATTACTCATTTTTCGCTTTCGTAGGACAAATACCCCAACTTGGGGTTTCGCTTAACTGATACTAGGGAAAATTGGATTTTCGCTAACCCGGCACGACACCGGCCCAGTCGTCTCAGGCGCCGCAATTCGATGCACAAAGTTGCGTTCCTTGGCACGCAAGAAACCCATGATCGTTCGCTTTCCGGTTCGCCCCGATTGTTCCCAGGTTTGTCAGCACCAAACCTATGCTCGTGTGTTTCACCAAAGTGGTAAGCGTCAGCATCACTTCAGGATTGCCTCCCAAATTAAGCTGACACGCCGTGATATAACTGGAATACTGTTCAAAGCGGCGTTAAACCCATCTCACTCACTCATTGTTTTGATACTTGCAATGTGACAAGTACATTCCGCACACAGCCCCGTGGGCATTCCGAATTAGATTGGTTCACAGCAACCTATGCTGGTCGTTTGATGCGACTGAATGGGTCGGTGGTCAAGGACGCTGACTTCGCTGATAGCGTGTCATCGTACCCGACGGCATGGGTTGTGGCTCAGAACATCGATCGCTAAATTTGTCTGGTCCAGACTCCATTATTTACGGACCGCCGTTATATAGCTGTAATAATCCTGAGTGCGGCGTTAAACAACAAACTTATTTACCAATAAATATGGTAAACATGGTAAGCAAGTAGATATGTCATGGCAACAAGGATGAATAACAAAATTGGTTTTCCCTCGTATTACGTTTACATTAATAATTAAATAATATTGCTGAATGTGGAGTTAAACAGCAAAGAAACAAGCACATGACAAACTTAAGGCAAAAAAGTATTCCTTGATCCTTGCGGCATTTTTCTCTAAACGTGATGACTATAAACACCAAAGAAACAAACATTCAGCCCACATTCTCATTTTGAGGCACAACCAGTTTTACATATTTGCATAGATGTATATACTTGCCATAGGTTGAAAAGGGAAAAAAAGGATAACTGGCGGTCGCGAATTTATACTTTTGTCAACGAGGAGTCAATTCAATAGCCAATTCAAATAGCAAATTCCCTTCCATTGATTAACAGACCTGAACTGGAAATAAAGGAGACAAGTTAGACCGATTCGTCTGTTTCATATTTAGCTCTACGCATAAAGATTCAGAGTGACAAAACACTCTCCACAAGACTGTATGATAAAAGGGATGACTTCAACTTTACAATAGTCAACGCTCCCTTTATGTCGAGCAATATTCCTGCAGCTCCAGCCCTTGGTGTTCACAGTTCATGATCACACGTTGGCGGTACTATCAAGCATGCTCTTTCTACCATTTCAATGAGCGTCATACAACTCTTGCTCCGAAGTTGTGTGAAAAAGGTTACGACATTCAAGCCAAGTAAAGCTTTCAAAAGGTTTTGTGGTAGACATATGGAGGGCATTTCACCTGTCTACAGTATTAAGCATTTTTGCAAGCATTACTAAGGCCTTGATTGTTGAAACCGTGATCAAACAACCTTTGTGCAAGGGTTGTATGACGTCCTTTGAAATCAGCATAGAAAAAGCATAAGGAAGAACATGCTGTACACTGACGTGCTGCATACATTTGGTCATGATTGAAACCGTACATTGATTCATGGACGTATATGATTTAAATAAAGATAACTACTTCGCTAAGGTAAATGGTTACGTTTGTGCAAACATATAGGACACATGGTGTTAACTGTCCCTTTAAACACAGTAATACGTAACGGAAGGAACCCGTACACACACACACACACACACACACACACGCACACGCACGTCGCTATATAAGTGCAATAATCTTGGACGGGACGTTAGACCCATTTTCACACACACACACACACACACACACACACACACACACGCACGTCGCTATATAAGTGCAATAATCTTGGACGGGACGTTAGACCCATTTTCACACACACACACGCATGCACGTCGCTATATAAGTGCAATAATCTTGGACGGGACGTTAGACCCAATTTCACACACACACACACACATGCACGTCGCTATATAAGTGCAATAATCTTGGACGGGACGTTAGACCCAATTTCACACACACACACGCATGCACGTCGCTATATAAGTGCAATAATCTTGGACGGGACGTTAGACCCAATTTCACCTTACCTCACAGTTTGATTTGTCAGCTGTGTCTCCCATACCAACTCGTTCTCTCGTTCCACTCATCAGGCCTATGGTTGAAGGGTATAAGCTATCTGATCTGCTGATAAAGAAACGTTATCAGTTGTTAATGTACTTGTGTGAAATATTATGTTTGTATGTTTCTTGTTGATAGCTATAACTCATTTATGTGTGTTTGTTTTGAGAGTATGTTATAATAAATATGGTTTTGTCATTTTGGTGCACACAAAAAATGATAACAGTGCCTTTAGTGGGTTTCATTCATTCCGGAGATAATAGAGACACGTGGTCGGGGAAACCCGACACAAATTGGTCGCTGCATTTGTTTAAAACATCCTAATAACTCCTCTTTTCAGACGTGTAGAAGGCGTCAACGTCTTCATGTGCAAGTAGTCCATTTTCATCTCTGTCCGAGTGCAGCCTCACATTCTGTGTGGATGGTGATCCGGACTTCATTAATGTCGACGAAAGGTAAGTTTCGGTGTATCTATTAAGATCGTAATAATATATAAATACTGCAAGAATATACATTTTTAACATTTATTTTACTCACTGCTTTAATTGGCATTTAGAAGTTGGCATGATGAACAAGTGATATAGTTCTATGGATGTACAACTTCTTTATTTACAATGACAGCGACGTTTCGGTGTAGATACGTACACCGTTATCAAGCAGGTGATGAAGGGAAATGTGAAGTATGGAGGTTATATACAAGTTGATAAGTGACATCACCTATCAACTTGTATATTTCTATTCCCTATTCGCCTACATGTTTTCTGTAGGCAAAATGGGATGTAGGCGAAATGGGACTCAACCCTGTTTGTGTACATCGCTCAGGCTTTCATATTTAATCTTTTCGGTTGTGTAAACATTATCGTGAATAGGTTGAGTCCCATTTCGCCTACATCCCATTTTGCCTACAGAAAACATGTAGGCGAATAGGGAATAGAAAATGCACCCCTATTGAGAGAATGGACTTGACTTAATGGAATAAAGGAAGGTCAGCTTCATAATGTATGAGTAAAAAAATAAGTATATCATTGTCTTTAAAGGGAGTCACTTTATAATCAGTGTTTATATAAGCAATTGGCTTAAGGATTAAGGCTATGAAGATCAAAAGTAGCAGTGAAATACTTACAACAGTTTGAGATTATAAACAAATATCAATCCTTTTGTTGCACATGAGTGAAAGGGATTGTGTACATAGTTTCAATTAGCTTTTAATTTTAATAAAAAGATCAAAGTTAAAACTAATTACTTTGTTTAAAATTGGGATAGGATGATCTCATACTGATGCATAAAATGGATCAACAAGGCGTGATGGGTAATGGGAAGCCAGTACGAGTAGAGAGGGATATATTAAAATATATATAAATAAATAAAAATAGACTATAGATAATGGAAATGAGATTAAGATTGTTGAGTGATGAGCTCATGGAAGGCCGTTGGAATGTAATACCCATGATAATGGCTGGTTAGATTTTTTTATGTGAAGGGCTTCTATGAGTTTCCTAATCTTTTCTGGTGAGCAATGTTAATGTTGCTCCAATGGATGTTGTGGTCTGGGTGGGCTGGGATATGGTCAGAGGTGGCGGAGTCTTTCTTCTGTACTGATGTATTGTGTTCCTTATTTTTCACTGGAAGAGGCCTACATAAGAGTCACCACAATCATATATCATGTGGTGTACTGCACCGGTAGGATCATCTTTTGTTGTTGAAGGTCTGCCATTGGCTTTGAGCATGTTCTGGATGGTCCTTCCTCTCCGAAACACTACATTGATGTTGGCTTGGTGTTTGAGAGGTCGGCTGAATTGATAGCTGGGTGTACTTTTTTTTGGCTGGCTGATGACAAATGAGGCTGTTTGGTGGCGCGGGGTCTTCTCTCTAGGGATGAGGGTGGTGATGATGGTCTGGTCTACTAGTCTGACAGGGTAGTTTTTAAAATTTATAAAGATGAGTCGGCTTCAAGATGTTCTGACGTGGAGCAGATGTTCTTGGCTCGTTGGGCAAGGGTGGCTATTATCTCTCTCTTGATTTGTGGTGGTGGAGTTGATAAGAGGTGATGGTACTGGTCAGTATGGGTGGGTTTTCGATACACGCTAGTCTGGTGTTTGTCAACTTTCTGGACTCAAGGAAAGGAAGCTGGTTGTTCGTTTCTCCTTCCACGGTGAACTGCATGATTGGGTGTTGGACATTAAGGTGGTTGAGGAGGATGTTTGGATCATCATCATCATCAGGGTTACGGGGCACTGATCTAAAGCAATTCCCCGGGACTGGTTGTTGCCTTTGTTATTGTTTTTTCCCAGTGAGTACCCGGTTGTATAGCAGAAATCTAAACTAGTTCGCGACCTCTGCTGCGTCATTCATAAGCGCATTAGTCACTTTTATGGGTGGTAATGAGGGCGTATGGTCACATTGATCAACAAAATTAAATACAGTTTTCGAGATAATTAGGAAATGTAGGTATCTTTGTGGGTAGCATCGGTAATGGTGACGAAGTTTTGATAAGTCACTAGCTTGGTAATTTTGCGATTTTCGTTTACACTATTTTGACTTTCAACACAAAGTAAATATTTCACCTGAGCATTGCTTTTTTTTTTAGTGTGTATATTTTTTTACTGTCAAAATGTGTAACATTTTCAAATTTATTAAACGCCTAAATATTCAGTTATTTTACAAAGTGACTGAAAAACATTTCCATCTGTTTTATTATGATAACGAATTCCAAACATTTTGATGTTTAATGTCATCACCAAGAGGCTGAAAATGTTACCTTGAAAAGTACATTTCTATGTTGTTTGGCTTCTAATCCTACATAATAATCTGTTGTGATGTTTTTAGGCCCTTTTGATCGTCCTAATCAATTTTAGTCAATCTGGACAGATTTTTCAGTCAAAATGACAGAAATATTTACACATTTAATAAATTGCCTGAGAGAATCCCATTTTACAAATTGACGGTAATATATACACGCTTACAAAGGAAAAGACTTGTGAAAACGTCTATCGCGCATTGAGTGAGTGAGTGAGTTTGGTTTTACGCCGCTTTTAGCAATATTCCAGCAATATCACGGCGGGGAACACCAGAAATGGGCTTCACACATTGTACCCATGTCGGGAATCGAACCCGGGTCTTCGGCGTGACGAGCGAACGCTTTAACCACTAGGCTACCCGACCGCCCCTATCGCGCATTGAAGAATTTCCCAACCAAGACGTACGTAGAGGAACAAGAACGAATCGGTTCAATGCTACAGCAAATGAAGGAAAACAAAATGCAAATACCATAATTACAACCTACCAAATTTATGTGTATAATTTTAGGCAGCTTCCTTGTTCGAGGAATGTATCCGTGAATATCCACACAAAGGAACAATTTCCCACTTGTCTGCAGCTGTACAAAGAAACGTATTCCATGTCACGTGTCTCTGTAACAATCAAATATATATCGTGTTCGTTTCGCAACTGATCACTTAGGTTGTTTCAAGTGTTTCACATAGGTGTCAAGGCTTAAGGGTCGGCTGAGAAAGCCCACGTGACAACTATTTTTTATAACGTCCACGTTTCCTAAAAAATCCAGTGAGTGATAGATAACAATGAGCAATCAATCAACGTATTATCAGTTACCCTTTGAACAAAGTATGTTGTTTTTACATCGGCACTTCACGCCATGATATGAGTGTATTCCCTTTGTTTTAGTAAACCTAGACATGTAAACACTCACTTTTGACATATCCACTGTGCAAGATAACAGTGATTAATCAATCAACGTATTTTCTGTTAATCCTTTGATGACTAGGAACGATCCGTTGATTTACAAAAAAAAGTAAATCAACTGATCATTCACCTCTTGCTGGGCTGCCACGTGTATATTACATAACACACATTTCACCTCACTTCAAACCTGGATTTAGATTGAATAATTACCCCAGACACAATAAATGCCAAATGGGAACCTTTGTCAGGTAATCTAAGTGGTGCTACCACTAATTGTACCTGTAATAAATTCATTAACTGAGCATAAAGTGAATGACGACAAATATACAAGTGTAGGGTTATACGGGAAAACGTGGATGACAAGGGAGTAGTAATCGAGGCAATCCGAAATCCGAAAATGCTTTCACTGCATGGATACTTTTTATTATTATTAAACTATAACCATCTGTTGTATTTCCAAATGACGACATCCGATGAGCTCCGCCGTTCTTTTTGTCTGTTTTTGTTTGTTTAGACTGAAGAAATTAATTAACATGCGCCCTTTGTCGAAATCTTTATAGATCACAGTTAACCAATCAGTGTTCAAAAATGCGTAAAACAAATATTGCCTCTAGCCTCCAAGTTTATTTAGCTATCCTTGCAGACGGTAGCCCAGTCTCTACATCACGCTCAGTTGCGTTGCGTATCATCCGGGTACTCACGGGGAAAAAACAATAACAAAGGCAACAACCAGTCCGGGGAATTGCGTTAGATCAGTGCCCCTTTAATGGTGATGTTTGGAGGGCTCAATCTTCTATGTCTGTCATGTGGATCTTTGTGATGATTGGGGAGAGGGGAGATCCCATGGGGAGGCCGTAGGTTTGTTGTAGGAACTTGTCTTGCCAGGTGAAGTAAGTTAACGTTGAGCTGATGAGGGTTTGATTAGGCGGATGATGCTGTCTGTGGAGAGGTGGGCATCTGGGTAGCGTGGATCTCGACTATACTTGTTCGAATGATGGTTATGGCTTCTTCTCTGTGCACGTTAGTGAAAAGGCTGCTATATCGTAGCTGATCGGGGTACCAGACTGGTTCATAGTGCTGATCTTGTTGCAGAATTCTCTTGAATCAGTAATAAATTACTAGGGGGCTAGCGGGCGGGCAAGGTACAGAGCGGTGGTGTAGTGGACAGTGTGTCTTGAGCAGACTAGGAGGAGGGCTTTGATGGTGGCTCTGGCACAGGGTGGTTTGGGATGCGGAACGGTCAACTTCTTATGCAGGGTGGTGCCGATCTCGTTGTTGTCTTGAAGTTCTTCCAGCAGGGCTTTGTGTTCTCTCGGAAGTCGGTTGGCTGGATCTTTCTTCAACTGCTTGTAGGTCGATGGGTCGTTCAGAATGTTGGTGGTGATGTTGTTGAAGTCAGTAGTGTCCACAACTACTGTTGCACTGCCTTTTTCTGTTGGGGCTATGGCAATGGCTCTGTCAGATTTTATAACTGTTTCAATTATCTTCTTTTCAGCATTTTTAAGTTATCTTTTGGTGATTAATTCTTTTCTAGAATGTTAAATTACAGTTCATATTAATGCTATATGACAACTCCTGTTTTCCTTCTCGGTTATGTGAATTGTGCAGTTCACTCTCTCACATGTATTGCTGAGTCATTCTCTTGACTAGCGTACAGACAGGCAGACTTCTGATGTTAAAATCCACACTTCTCACTCATCTGTATATTGAATATATTATGTGAGCACCTTTCCGTCCACACACCAGACTGCTACCT